TTTTTTGGTTTTGGTCACAGGTTTTGATAGATGGATATGAAAACTACAACTGGGTTCCTAGAGAGTTCATGGTTCCAATCCTGGGCAATGTGAAAATGATACAAAACATTAAGGCAAAATACTTGCCTGTTAGTATATAAATATAATTAAAGGTAAAAAAAAATTCTTGTGTTCAAAGACTCTAGGTTAACCTCCACAGATATTCATCAATTGTGGTTTAGATGCCTCTGCAGTTGTATTAATTCAAGGAGATTCTGAAATAGGAATATGAAGATACATTTTCAGTTTAGCTGCAAAAATTCCTAGTTTACAATCAAGTAGCTTAGGCTTGGAGCAGTTTGTCTATGTACTGTAATTAGCATTCTTAAGTCTTGTAAAAGTCCTCCACACATTTTTTTGTGATTAGAATGAGGTCCCTTTTTCAAGTTTTAGGATCTTGGAGACAGAACACTTGACTTCTATGGGTGAGTGAGATGCTGTGAACTACTTATCCACTAAAAACATGGAAATGATATCAGAGGAACTACAGTCAGTTTGAGAGACATGGGCAGGATGAAACAAAAATCAGTGATGCTGACTACAAGTTGGGAGCCAATCAGATATAAATCTGAAATATTATATGGCACTCAATCAGAAAGTTCAATATGATTTAGGACTGTTTAAGAAATGAGATTATATAACAAACAAGGGCAAAATAGGATGCCTTAACCTGGAATATTGAACCTTGGGACTGGAAAGAAACAAGTAACTGGAGAGAATCCAGAGAAGAACATGAACAATGATGGCTTTAAAGCAAAATATGAACTTTATAGTGTAGCCAAACCACAGAGTCAGACCCAAGGGGCATGATAAAAATCTACAAATAACTTGGGGGTCTAAACACCAAGGGTAAAGAGGAATTTTGGCTGGAGATATAAAAAGTTTCAAGGGATAAAGTTAAGGAAAGGAAAATTTAGGTTAAGCATCAGAATATATCCTTTGATGGTAAGATGTTTGTATTTATAGAATAGACTCTCAAGAAAATATAAAAAAAAATACTGATGAGTTTTCTAGGATCCCAGATAAGAGGATGTCAGACCAAGGATTCTAGAACTTTCACTGGAATATTCTTGGGCCTTGTCCAGATGGAATAGATAGCATCAGTTTTTTTAAACCCTGAATTACTCTGATAATTATGATGGGAATGGATAGCAAACAGTGTTCTGCTCTTTAGTAAACTCTATCCCAAGGCTTTAATTGAGGCTCTGAGAACAAAAAACCATAAACAAGCATGGTACTACTCTCAACAGCAAATGCTCTAATAATGAAGCAAAGTCTTAGAGATCTGTTTTGTTTTAAACACACACACACACACACACACACACACACACAAACACACACACACATATATTTTTAAAACCATTTATTTCTAGACTCCCAGTTATGTTGCTTCTGAAGCTAGCTGATGAATTATGATTCTGGATATCAATGTAACACAATCCCCAGCTTTTTAAATTGGTAAGTAAAACACATAGGTCTTCCTTAAATGAATTTGGCATAACCTGGCAGTCAATCAGAAAGGGTAATGTGAGTTGAGTCTATATAAGCAAAAGGATTATATAACAAAATAAAATAGAACACCCTGCCTGAAAATGAATTAATATGCTGTAAGCCATGATGACTGCAATATAAATCTAATAGCAACCCGGTTGAAAAGCAAAATAGTTCTTAAAATACAAAAAATGAAAATCCAAATAAATTTCTTACAAAATCTTTCCAGAACAGCCATCACCTTTCTAATTGGGTTTTAAAAAGCACACATACTTACACTGGATGATTATTTTTAAAGAAGCTTCAGCTTAATATAATGATTATAGCCACTTGATACCCAAGGAAGTTTCACTCAAGGATGGATGGAATATACCATACATATTCCCAAATGATATTAATGAAGCTGAAAAACTCCTGTTGCTTACTGATGTCCTAGCTGTTGTGATGTCATAGTACAATCTATTACATGTTTGTGGTGATGTAGGTATGAACAAACCTGTCCTGTTTTTAGTATAAATAAAACCACAATTATATACAGTACATAATACTTGATAATTTTAAGTGACTATGTTAGGGGTTTATATATTTACTATTTATTATTATTTTAGAGTATATTTCTTTTTATAAAAAGCAATTCAATGTATTCTGTGTTACACTGGCCTCAGCCTCATACATCTCATGTTTATTTTATCTATTGGTTGCATCAAATCCATGTTGAATGACTGATCTGTACCATCTAGGTTTATTTAAATACACTTTATGATGCTGACACAACAATAAAATTGCCTATCAGTGTACTTCTTAAACCATGTCCCTTGTTACACCACACATGAATGTATTTAAAACAGTTTATCTGTTGTTCCTGACCATGAAGCAAGTTCCAGGCTAATGGTGGGTGTCAAGATCCATTGGAAACAAGATGATGAATTAACTGCCATATGTCTGTTCCCAGCCTTGGGAGTCCCAATAAAAGAGTTCCTCTGCTCATCCATGACCAAGAATATATGCCTTTGTGCCTTCAGGGCTTTCATATTAGCCCTCCATAATCATGGCAGGGTTGCATTTTCAATCCCATATTCATCCTAGGGGCTTACAGAAATAGAATTTACATTAATTATAAATTACATTTGCACAATTACCTTGAATTATAAGTGGTCCTGTGTGAAATATGACTGTTAACCATCAACTTACAATTCCAAAATTCAAGGAGGCATAACCAGACTATGATATCCCAGTAGTGCACACTACTATATATACATTTTTTAAAAAGACCCACCCACTTTTACTTCTAATGTGATTTGTTTTAGGAAGGAGGAAAGCCAAACATCTCCAATCCCCCAAAGGTAATTTGGTTTGTGTAGTCAGGCAGGGCTGTAAGGTTTTAAATTCTCTGCCTGTTAGTAGCACACTTGATTGACAGTCACTGAAATTACTTAGAAGGTTTAGGATGAGAAGAAATGGACAGCTGTGGGAGAGGGTGATGGGAAATTAGAATCTCATTGTCTGTTGTCTTCAAGAAATCTACAGCACATTAGCACTCAAGGAAGGAAATCCCCAGTGCTGACTTTCCCCTGCATTCACAAAAAACAAGTGTTCTCCACAGCCATACTCAGGTGCCACACACACTTCTGGAGGCAATAATTTCTCCTGCTATAATAAGATTTCATGACATGCCTCCTCCCAGGTAGTCCAACACTTAGGACACCAAACATGCTTTTTAAAAAGTGAGTAAATTATCTGCCCTCGAAAGTGTCACAGAGAATCATGGAAGTCTTTCAAAATCAGACAATTCTAGTATATACACCAGATGAATGTTTTTGTCAAGCACCTGAATTTATAACTTAATTGTAAGATTCTTTTCTTAATAAAAGAAATGGTAAAGTCACCTTTCTATTTAAATAAAATTCTCTTCACCCCAAAGTGGTGAAAGATCACACACACACACACACACACACACACACACACAGCATGTAGGCATTTCCAAAGTCCTGTCTACTTTTTGTTGAGATGGTTATAAAATGCCTTCCAAAACAAAAAAAGTGTTGCATCAAAAAGCCCTACACGCCCCGGTCAGGGTTTGGGGCTTTGCTTTGCAGATTGTAGAGGTCGGACAGCAGAAGAAACTATACCCAAACATTTCCAAGCCAGGAATATTGTTTCTGCGGCGTTTTCCTGCTACCCAGGACTGTGGTTGCTGCGCGCTGCGCTGTTATACCGGTGTGGAACCTGGTGATTGATGACTTTGTCAGCTCCAATCTCCTTGAAATCTGGGACGACGACGCAGGACCTAGCGTCTGTCCTGTCGGGCTTCACTCACCACTCCTCCTAGAGTACATTTTCAGCACGTGTTCACGACCCTTACACGGGGTGGACTTCTTCGGCTACACTTCCCTTAGTAAGTCCCCTCCAGTCCAATAATCGGCAGTCACAGCATTTGAACTACATTTTTATCCTTTTATAAAACAAAAACAGCAGGGGTGGAGGCAGGAGAGAGAGGGCAGGAGATTTAACTCTAACTTCAGAGCAACCTTCTGGGCTGCCCATCTGACACCAGTGGGTGGGGTGCAATCTGACACTTCTCTTCCTTTCCAGAAACGTGAGTGGATCTGGCGCTCCCTTCAGTCTGTGGGGGAAGGGAGACGGGGTGGGGGGTGGGAGAAGGTCTGCATTTCCGTCCTCACGACTTTCTCCCCGGGAGACCACGTATTAGTGCTAGCTGCTCGCTCAGTGAGCTGCTCCCAGGTTTGGCGTCTGGAAATCCTCACGTCTTGCTTTCTCCTGCTCCTGGCTCCGCCCCGGCTCCAGACCCTGCGTTCCTCTGACCCTACGCGTCCCAGCCACCTCCTTTCCGCCGCCTCCAGCACGAGCGTGCGGGGACATCTCCACGCCTGCCCTGGGCCCACGGCTGGCTGTGAATATCAAGTGTCGCTCTACAGTGGAACATGGGCACTGGCTTCTGAGGCTGTCTCTGGAGCTCCCCCCTTTCCGAATAGCGCTGAGGGCAGCGGGGAATTCTCTACGGTCATAGTCACTGAGCCCTTGGAAGGCCCTGGGTGCAGTGCGCTGGGTGTCCCACTTTGCAGCAAGCCCGAGATCCCGCAGGAACCTTGGGCTTGGAGACACTCTTGAGCATTCCCAGTAGGAAGAGCAGGCGCAGCAACCAAGAGGAGCCCAAAAGCACAGCCTCCAGCTCCAGTACACCGCGAGGGTTCCCTGAAGGCGCAGCTGGGGCGCTCAGCTCGGGGCGGGAGGAAGATCACACCTCTTGGTGAGCGCAGCAGACGCGCCCTGGCGCACACCCAGGCCTCCTCCCGAGCGCTCAGGACAGTCCTCTGGCCACGAGGAGGAGCTTGCTGGAGACTTAGAGGTTGTCCAGAGCTTGCGAGCCGGAGCGCCGAGTCTCCCGCCTGGTTTCGAAGGGGGAGTGGCGCTGGCGGGCTGGAGCTGGGAACCAAGCAAACGCTGGACCTTCCTCTTCTTCCTTACCATCTTTGCTACTGGGGCTCCACGGGAGGATTCTAAAGGTTTCAGGGGGGACCTGGACCCTTTTTTCCTAGAAGGCTGGTGATGGATCTCCAGCTTCTGTCCGGGCAGGAGCACTTGGAGTGCGCTGGTGGTGCGTGAACCCGGCACTGCCCTCCACCGCCCTCAACCAGTCCGTCCTGGCAGCTTTTCCCCAGCTGCCTTCCTTTCCTAGCCAAAAACCTCCAACATTCCAGGAGGGAGAGAGAAGGTGGCCCTCGGGCACAGCCCCTGGAGATGTCCGCCCAGAGCCTGCTCCATAGCGTTTTTTCTTGCTCTTCACCCGCCTCGGGCGGTGCAGCCTCAGCCAAGGGCTTCTCCAAGAGGAAGCTGCGACAGACCCGCAGCCTGGACCCAGCCCTGATCGGAGGCTCCGGGGGCGAAACAGTCACAGAGGGCGGTGCGCGGGGGTCCATAGCAGGCCGCCTTTACTCCCCGCAACCCCTAGCGGAGGGTCTTTGCCCCCGCTCTGCATCTTCTGCCAGGAGCCAGCCATCCCGGACCACCAGGCTCCCGCAACCCAGACCTCTTTGCTCGTCCTTCTCCATGCCCAGCACCCCGCAGGAGAAGTCCCCTTCGGGCAGCTTCCACTTTGACTACGAGGTCCCCTTGGGTCGCGGTGGTCTCAAGAAGAGTGCGGCCTGGGACTTGCCTTCTGTCCTGGCTGGGCCAGTCAGTGGCCGCAGCTCTGCCAGCATCCTCTGCTCCTCTGGGGGAGGCCCCAATGGCATCTTCACTTCTCCCAGGAGGTGGCTTCAGCAGAGGAAGTTCCAGTCCCCACCCAACAGTCGCGGCCACCCCTACATCGTGTGGAAGTCTGAGGTAGGGACCAACGCCATGCGTCCTCATGGCCCAAAGCTGGATGCCACAGGCAGTTCTAGGCCACTGCCTTTAATCCCATCCCATTTACAGAGCCAGGCAGCAGCTGAGGGGTTTGCATGGTGTAACTGTTTCTACTTAGGCTGATTAAATGGTGCCTGGAAATGGGACATCCTTAGTGGTCACTCACCACACATGTGTCCTGTAGGATTCTTTGGCTCTTCTTTGGAGCAGTCAAGGGAGCTGGAGGAAGAGATGGTCTTCTGATTTCCAGTTTGTGCTACAGGCAAAGGATTGTATTATCCCTTCACTCCATGCTGATATTTTTTGGAACTCGAAAGATCTACTGCTGTTTGTAATGATTGGATGAAATATATTTTGATTAATGTCTGCCATCAGCTGTAGAATTTAGGAACATTATTCTGAAAGATGTTATTGATTATGTGTTTGGATGGCAGTGTGGAGTAACTACTAGGATTCTCTAGTTTTGATTTCTTTTCCCTAAAGGTGTAATTTCAGAAATATATGATACTGAATAGTTTCTCTGCTTAGGGGTATGAAATATCACAGAAATATGCCCAAATTCCACTAAGGACAATTAGTAGTTAGTGGAATAGACATGAATCAGGAATCAATAATAAATAGGGAACTTGGAGTTATTTGATACTCTTAAAATGTTCATTCTCTGGTTGAGTGGAGAATAGAGCTAGCTATTGGGAAACTGTGGTTGATGGGTACTTGGAAAGCAGCATGCTTTTAGAGAATAAATAGTAGTTGGTTTAAAAATGACCAACTCTGATTCCTTTCAGTCCACAAACTCTATAGGTTTGCCCCAGATCTGGTTCCATAAGGGAAGGAAGATCCTGTCAGTTGTAATTAAATATTTTAAAGCACAGTTAGCATTACAGAAATGAAATTAAATACAATGTAATTGTTGGAGTTTAGGCTAAATAAAGGAGACACAACCAAGCAAAATTGCATCCAAGTTCATACCCAGTTCTATTAACATGAGATAACTTAGATTTCAGCTTTAATAGACTACCTTAGAAAAATGAGCATTATGTATCAGAAATATTAGCATCATATGTTATTAATGTTAGTTACGGTGTCAGTGTAACTGCTGCTGTTGCTGAGAGGGTTATGGATTGCAAAAAACTAACAAGCTTTGCTAACTGTGCTGCCCATTTTGTTGAGGAAAAGAGATAGTTGAAAGAAAAATTGAGACAGAATAGGTGTTATCTCCAAGCCAGTATTAGAGGACCAAAAACTGAAATATTGAACTCTTGGTTTCTAAGAGAAGCTGGATTCCTGCTCTGTTTCAGAAGCACATTTTGTCAGATTAATCTATAGGAGTTTAGAGCAAGAGAGAAATGCAAAAACAAACCAACATAAGCTAGTCACTGACATTTCTGTTTAAAATCAATTACATCATTAAGAATGTTCCTAATTTTTCTTTGCAAATGTGCATATTTGGAATATGATATATAGATACAGATACTGTTCACTGCTATTATGACCAAAAACCATTTGATCATAGGTGATGCCACTTGTTGCAAATTATGAACCCCCTTGTTATAAATTATCTTTTTATCTATTAAAATCTCGTAATTGATGGATGTGTATCTGAACAACAATACTGGATGACTCCTGACTGTTCCATATAGTATTGGACCATCTGCCTGGAGCTCATCTACCATATTTTCACCTTTTTGCAGTGGTTAAAGCTAAGTACAAAGCCATCTAGCAAAAGAACAAAATTTTCTCATAAAAGGTTTATATGTGTATGTGTGTGTGTTTGTGTGTATGTGTGTGTGTGGAGGCAGTTAAGCAGAAATCCCTTTATGTTTCAGGCAGATATGGAGTGATTGGACAGAATTCTGGCATGAAGGTCCAACACTGGTTCTGTTTAGTAGAGGCCAAGATATCCTAACATAACCCCTGGGTCTGGAATTTAAAGGCCTGGATTACCTTTCAAAGGTTTAGCGCCCTGGAATCTTCTCAAAAACCAAGAAATTCATCCTATTGGGCACTGTTTGTCCTTCTCACTTGCAAACAAGCTGTGTCTTTTGTCCTAAAAGAGAATCTTTACTAATGATGTCAAATGTGCAGCAAATGAGTCCCTTGCAATGTTGCTTAGAGGCCCTAGAGGGGAGATCTGGTTCATACAGATATGATTCTTACAATTTTCTTGGTTTTCTGGCTCAGGGTTTCTCAGCCTTGGCACTATTGACATCTGAGTGATTCTTTGTCATGGGGGATGTCTTGGATATTATAGGATGTTGAGCAGCATCCCTGACCTCTACCCACTAGATGCCAGTAGCACTCTTCTTTACCAGTATGACAATGAAAAATGTATCTAGATACTGCTCAATATCCTCTGGGGATGAAAATCACCCAAGTTGAACAGCTATGCTAGTGAGGTTGAATACAGTGCCCTATGCTGGCCATCTAGTGAGTGCCCATAGAAGGGCTGTCAGCTGGTCTAAAGTTTCCCGGGGCCATCCTCTGCCTCCCAAACCAGGAGGATCACTCTGGAATCATGCTTGTGGATTCCATGTTCTTCTAATAGTTTGTTCAAATTTTCTGTTTTTCTTCCTGAATCCATAGGAAAACTTGAGATTTCTCTTTCAGGTTTATCTAGTGATGGATCACATCCATTTCCATTTAGTTCTTTTAGCAGATTCTCTGTTTTTAAACCAAATTGTTCACATAACAGCTCCCATTCCCAAGACTCTCATAAATGCCAGTAACTCTATTACTTGTGCTCACTTAAGGCTCATAAATGACCATTTTATAGCTTAAACCTAGGAGGTGTTTGACAAAGTCAGGTATAACTCTACTAATATTTCCTTACTATATGTTTAAGGACTACTTTAATAAAATTTGATTTATGCACTTTTGGGTAAAATATCTATCAAGTAAAAAAAAGAGAAGACAAAGGGATATATGGTATGTGATGACTCAATTAGTACATGTTTCCCCATCTTGTTGTCTTAGCAGCCAGGCTCTGTTCCTGACTCTGATCACAGATAAGATGATAAATCATTTCAATCCCAGGATCCTCCTAATTATTGTGAACCAGAGCTAGGATTATGCCAATAACTGATTGGGAGTTTGCAAGCTTCTATAACCAATGATTAAAATGATTTCTATATATCCCCAACTTTTTTACTTTTCTTCATTCAGGTATTTCTTGATCAGAAGTATTTCTCTACATACTAGGAATACAGAGAGGCTGCAATATGGGTCAGCACTTAAAGAGCTCCAAGTCTATTGAGGTGACATGTGAATTGATCAGTAGGCATGGTGAATGAGCACCATGGCACACTAGAGGAGGCAAGTGATGACTCACTGTCCTCTGGGAGGTCCTAGATGTCTTCACTATGTAAGGAACATTTGAACTTGATTTTCAATGAAGACTGCCATTTACAATGAAAAGAAGGAAAGTAATTTCTTGATGAGATAGAAAAGAGTGGACATGCAAAAAGGCACAGAGATGTTGGTAAGGGCAGAGTGTCCACCAAAAATTTATACGAGCTTAAGTGCAGCTATGTGTTAGGAGAGGGAGGTAAGGACACTTGCAATTTAATATATGTAGCAACCAAAGTGTTTCCCAGGTAGTAACATGATTAAACTAGAAATCAGGCATTTTGTGTGTGGTAGGATAATTATGGGCAAGAGTAAAAATGAAATAAGGGCCAAAATACATTCCATATCCTTTAAGGGGCCCCTTGGAATCACATCTGCAGAGAGGTAAAAAGATATAGATACAGGGTATCTCTGAAGTGAGAAGTTTAACATATCTGGAGTATCAGGCTTAGTTTGCTATCTGTTGGTGACCATGTTCACCAGATAGGGGAGTGGATTTCACAAAAACAAAACAAAACAAAAACTTGCTGTGCAATTTTTAAGCAGTTGTCCTCTATATTGTATAAAACAAATGACTCTCAATCTGGAGGTGACTTTGTCCTGTGTACATTTGACAATATATTATGACATTTTGGGATGTCATGACTGGTGGTAATATATTAGTTTCCTATCCCTGCTGTAACACATAACTACAAATTTAGTGGCTTAAAGCAAGAAAAAAATGATTACTTTATAATTCTGGTGATAAGAAATCCCAATAGCTCTCACTAACCTAAGTTCAAGTTGTTGACTTAACTGTGTTCCTTTTGAAGTTTCTAGGGTCTGTTGCCTTTCTTTTCTAGTGGCCCCCTTCCTTCATCTTCAAACTCAGCCATGCTGTGTCTCTTTGATTCTCTCTTTTACTCTCTTCAGGACTCTTGTGATTACATTGGTCTTACCTGAATAATCCAGGTCAATCTCACTATTTTAAGGCCAGCCAATTAGTAATCTTTAATTGCATCTGCAACTTTAATTCCCCATTGCCATGATGAACTCATAGGTTCCAGGGATTTGGTATGAACCCTTTTGGTGGGACATTATTCTGTATACCACAGGGGAGTAGCTGCTTCCATCTAACTGGAATGCCAAGGATGCTTTGAAACACCATGCAATGTTCAGGACAGTTCCATGAAGAATAATCACCTGCCCAATCAGTGCCAGAGCTGAGAAACTATAGTAGAGAATGGGGGTACTTGGTGATTTTTAAGTCTGAGAGTGTAAAGTGATCAGATATGTGTTTTAACAGGACCAATCTGGTGTCTGGGGGACCGTAGTTTAGAAACATGAAACAGATGGATACTCAGAGGTGGGAGGCATGGGGAGATCATGCCAAGAATCCCATTAACAAGTGGTAATTCCCATATGAACAGACGACTCTTATTTCCATATTCTCCATTTTTGCAAATAATTTTCTTGTATTGTTGAAGCACTTGAAAGCTGAACTCTTACTCATCTTTGTATTCTTAAAAATCTGGCTTATGCTCCAAGGTTTTAGACCAGTGGTAAACCTGGATAGAGTTTGTACCCCAGGGCACATATGGTAATGTCTGTTGGTACTGGGCAGAGGGTTACTTTTAGAATCCAGTATGTAGGGG